TAGAATGTAACAAAGCAAGTATCATTAATAGTGTTGAAAGGTGTTGATATTTTGCTAGGATCACCCTGGATTTAGTTTGGGAAGGTTCTATGGAAGAGATGTGTTTTTTATTGCATTTGAAAAATTAGAGGGCTAAAGTGAATAAAGCAAGGTGATATATATTTTAAGGCAAGTGAAAAATCATATTAAAAGAGTATTACACTTTTTGCTAACTTAGATAGTATATATATGTGGTCAGCTATATAATTTGCCTTAGCTTATTATGGTGATTTTATTTTATTTTATTTAGAGATAGAGTCTCACTTTGTCACCCTTGGTAGAGTGCCATGATGTCACAGCTCACAGCAACCTCCAGCTCCTGACATTACGTGATTTTCTTGCCTCAGCCTTCCAAGTAGCTGGGACCACAGGCACCCGCCACCATGCCCAGCTTTTTTTTTTTTTTGAGACGGAGCCTCAAGCTATCCCTCTGGGTAGAGTGCCATGGCATCACACTCACAGCAATCTCCAACTCCTGGGCTCAAGGGAGTCTCCTGCCTCTGCCTCCCAAGTAGCTGGGACTACAGGCGCCCGCCACAACGCCTGGCCATTTTGGGGTTGCAGCCATCATTGTTGTTTGGCGGGCCCGGGCTGGGGATTCGAACCCGCCACCTTAGGTGTATGTGGCTGGCGCCTTAGCCGCTTGAGCCACAGGCGCCGAGCCAGCCCAGCTATTTTTTTGTTGCAGTTTGGCTGGGGGCCGGGTTCAAACCCACCACCCTCAGCATATGAGGCTGGGGCCCTACTCACTGAGCGACTGGTGCCGCCCACCATGGTGATTTTATAACCCCAAACTGCAGTAACATGAATTCTTTAAACACCTAAACAGAGTATAGCCTTCAGCAGCATAATTCTGAAGTTGATTTTATTTAACTGTAGGCTGGCAAAGCTCATCTTGAGAATCTTTTATATTGCTGGCATAAAAGCTCAAGCTAGTGAGCTAATTGCTTTGCTGGGAAACTAAATATGTCACTTTCAGGGGAGATAATATCTCTGCCCACAAAATACCCAAAACGTAGACTAGTGAGTAGCACGTAGTTAAATGAAAATACAATACAGTTAAATGTCACGTCATGATGTTAAGCACAGAGGACCACATGTAAATGAGGTGGTCACCTGATCAGACAGCGACTTTGACAGTCTAGGAGGTACTCAGCAGTCCATTTATACCACACAGCCCTTTCACATTCAGCTAATTCTGCCCAAGTGAGGGGAGGGGAGGGGATCCCACAAATATCACAGATAAAGTGACTCTCAGCTGACTCTCAGAGTTTGGAAATACATTTTATAGACAGCTCGTGCATTTTTCTCCCTTTCTGTCATGACTTGCCCTGTGGCTGCTTTACTAGTGATCAATGTCGAAGGCAGGGAGGGAACATTTCTCACCAGTAAGTTTGATAATAACAGTTACTATTTTCTGAGAAGCACTGAGTGAAGTACTTGATGTTTATTGTTTCATTTAACCCTCAGGAAGCAAGGATAAGATACGGTGTTACTACATGTGTAAGATGTGGTTGAAGAGAGCTAAGAGGGAGGTTAAGACACTTGCCCAGAGTTACACAGCTGTACGCGGCAGAGCCTGTGTTCCATCCAAGTCAGTCTGGCAGCCAAGCTTGGGCTCATCACAGAATTGAGGTAAGGATAGCAAATCGAAATGACAATGAGACACCACTTAACACCTGCTCTGACATGACGTGTATACCTTTTTTTTTTCCAATGGAAAAATTGTAAGTGTAAGCAAAGATGGGAGAAAACTGAAACCCTCATTCACCGCGGGTGGGAATGTAAAATGGGGCACCTGCTGTGGAAAACAGTCTGGCAACTCCTCAAAAAGTGAAACTCAGAATTACCAGAGGATGCAGCAATTTCAGTCCAAGGTACCTTCAATTCTCACACCCAAGAGAACTGAAAACATATGGCCGCATGAAAACCTGCATCAAGAACGCTCCTAGCAGCATTGTTCATAATGGCCCAAAGGTAGAAATGACCCAAATGTCCATCAGCTGATGAAGGGATGAACAAAGGGTGGTACGTCCAGACACTGGAATATTATTCAGCCGCGACTAAGAATGCAGTGTGGATAAGCACTGCAACACGAAGAAACCTTGGACATTACGCTAGCTGCAAAAGCCAGGCATAGAAGGCCACACACTGTATAACTGCATTTTTATGACAAGCCCAGGACAGGCAAATTAATAGAGACAGAAAGTAGATTAGCAGGTGCCAAGAGCTGGTGGGAGGGTGAATGGGAATGGCTGTCAATGGGTGTTGGATTTCTTTAGGACAGATGGAAATGCAACATATAGCTGATTTTTTTTTTTCTTTTCTTTCTTTTCTTAATCTCTCTCTTCCTATAATGGGTGGAGGTGGGGTCTTGCTTTTGCCCAGACTGGTAAGAAGCTCTGGATTTTGAAGGACCAGCCCAGCCCAGCACCCCACAAAGTCCTGGAGTTGTAGGTGTGGCCACAGCACCGGCCAGTCAACACCATCTCTCCCATCTCTCTCTTTCTATCTTTCTGTCCTTCTCCTCTCCTTTTCTCCGGTTCTTTTCTTTCACCCTCTCCCTTTTTTTCTGTTTTTTTTTCCTCTTCTTTTTCACTGCTCACTCTTTACCCTTCTCTTCCTTTTGGCCTTCTACCAAGAGGCCACTTCAACACCTAAGCTCCGAGACAAGGCAATTCAAAGTGAAGGAAGCAGCAAGAAGGAAAAAAGTCGGGAAGAAAGTGAATAAGAAGAAAACACACATGAGAAGGAACCAACAGAACAATTTTGGCACCATGAAAACCCAAAACAGAGCAGTTCTCCCACCACCACCAAGGGCATGTGACGTAACAGCTACTGCAGGAGACTCCACCTGTAGAGAAGTAATGAAAATGACAGAAAGGGAACTGAAAATACGGATGGCAGAGGCAGGAGAAAGTGGACAAACAGAACCAAAAATGGATGGAAGATATGAAGACTATAGAAAGGATATGGCGGAGCTTAAGGAAATGAAGGGATCAATCAGGGAACTTAAAGATGCAGGAGAGATGATCAATAACAGATTAGACCATGGAGAAGAAAGACTCTCAGAGCTAGAGGATAAAGTTCATGAGCGAATCCAGGTAGTTAAAGAAGCAGAAGAGAGAGGAAGCAGAACGTTTGCTCAGAGGATTATGGGACTTGATGAAGCCTTCAGATACACCAATTATAGGGATTCCTGGAGGGGAAAAAAATGTCCCAAAGGTGTGGAAGCCCTACTGAAGGATCAGAAATTAAAACTCCTCAAGTTTTACTAAAGAGAGTTTTAGAACTCTCCTTTCAGAGAGATAATTGCACCCTGGTTCATCTCAATACAAACAGAGCATCTCCAAGACACGTTGTAATGAACTGTCCAAAGTCAAGACAAAAGCCAGAACGTTCTGCAAATGCCAACTACTATAGGGACAAAACCATCAGGGTGACAGCAAACTTCTCAACTGAAATTTTTCCCATAAGTCTTCATTTCCAGAAAATAATGACCATCTACCTTCAACCTTTTTTTTTTTTTTTTTTGCAGTTTTTGGCTGGGGCTGGGTTTGAACCCGCCACCTCCAGCATACGGGGCTGGCACCCTACTCTTTTGAGCCACAGGCGCCGCCCCTACCTTCAACCTTTTTAACAAAATAATTTTCAGCCTGGAATTCTGTATTCTGCTAAATGAAGAAGTTAATTGCATCCTTCAAATCTCAGCTATGGTTATTTTAAGGACATACCAAAAGCTTTGATATAAAGAACTATTTTAAGTCACACTTTTTCTAAAGCCATCTGAGCCCTGCCCTAAGAGAAGGCTGCTTCCAAGAAACAGTTTGAAGTGCTACTGTCAAGCAGAGGCAGGGGCTCTAGGGGATTTTAGGGTCAGCAAGCATGAACCTGGTAAAGCTGTGGTGGGGATTTCCCATGAGCCCCCGCCCCCAGCTGAGTCACCGCCTCCTCTATTTGACCTGCAGCAAGCCCTCCTGAGCTGCAGAATCTTCAAGACCAAGGAGTGGAAAGTTTGCCGGTGCCCTGAGAGCTCAAGGTCTGTCCATTCAGGGCATTGGGGGCGGGGGGGGACGGAGACGGAGGGAAGACAGAACCTTTGTTCTCTAGACTTTTCCTCATTCTTATTTATAATAACTTTTCTTCAATAGCCCATTCAATGAAGATCAAGAGTTCAACCTGAAAAGATTTTTTTTTTTACTCCCTAGTTATGTTACTATACAAATTTTAGATTTTCTCTCTCTCTCTCTTTCTTTCTTTTTTTTTTGCAGTTTTTGGCTGGGGCTGGGTTTGAACCCGCCACCTCCGGCATATGGGGCCGGCGCCCTACTCCTTTGAGCCACGGGTGCCTCCCTCAAACTTCAGATTTTAAAATTGGCAAGTGTATGTCTATGTTTAAGACAAGGTGGTAATGAATTGAGTGGAGAGATCTTTCAACATGTTACCAGCGAGGCATTTTTTTCAAGGAGGAGTAGTAACCGTGAGATATCATCTCTTTGAACTAAACTGTCAGATGAACTGATACATTCTCTCCATGGGGCTCTATTTCAGGGACAGCAAACAGTTGACACTGCTGAAATCTGGACACTAAATATCTATGAAAGTCCCCAAAAGTTCTTGCTGTTGTCATGTCTGCATGTTCGCAGACTGTGTTGGAAAATTCACTCTTAGACTTTGGTGAACCCGTGCAAAGATATGTGTTTAGTCACACTGGTCCTGTTACATTCGGTTCTATGAGTTTGCTGCTTTTCCGTAATATTCCAATGTACATTGTGCCCCCAAAGCACGAGTTACGGTCTTGTGGAATTGCGCAGGTAGTGGTCGAAATGGAGACAATTCTAACAGGAGAAACTACCCTTCCCTGGAAATGTTTATCTTCTGCAGAGTGACGTTTGTGGAGCCACTAACTTGATTCAAGTTCTTTTGGAATGTTCTTCACTAGTGTCACAGCTACGCAAGATTCTGTCATGGGAAGTGGCTATTACAGCATGGTGGCAGCTGTGGTGCTGCTCATGAATTTGGAAAGGACACGATCACTGCAGGATTTCTGTGGTAACTGCCCTGCCGGTAAGTGCCAAGTTAACATGTGCCTGTGATCTGCTCAGTTGAAAACAGGTTGAGTTAGTCAATGAATGAATCTTTGTTCATTCACGTAAGTGAAGTATTCCGTGGATGTTACAGATGAACTATGGACACAGTTAAGTCATTTATCCTCTTGTGCCTCACTAACAACCGGGGATAACAAGAGAATCCACCTCACAGGCTGGCTGGGAGGATCACAGGAAGGGCTTATAACCGTGTATGGCACGTGGCGAGACCTGGGTAAATGGTACTTTTGTGTGGAGGCTCTGTGTGTAGACTGGAGGCACAGTCAGCAGTTAGCAGGTGGCAGGCAGAGGGCTTAACAGAATGGGGAAAGTCAGACATGCTTAAATTTTAATGTAGCCACAAAGGACATGACTTTCCTCCTTCATCCAGTCGATGGGTTTCCAGGATTGATCAAGAGAATTGGCCCATTTTATTTAATAGACTGAGGATGTTCTTTCTGTCGATTTATTGGTTACAAAATCTGCATTTTTCTCATATCCAATTCTGTGATTATGCAAAGGACGATCTAGCAAATGTATAGTTTTAAAAAGTCCATCGAAATAACGTCTATCCCTGTGACATCTAGAAAATGATCCATTCTTTCTTACTCCAATTTTCCTGTAAATTTCACGATGCTTTGGGTGACAACTGTCCACTGTCAAGCATGTACAGCTATTAACTGTGTTTCTTAGGTACTTTCTGTGGGAAAAACAAGAATCAGACTTGCATCCCCTGTCCTCCAAACAGTTTCTCCAGCATAGGTGGACAAAGGACCTGTGATATATGCAGGCAATGTAAAGGTATGATTTAAAAGATGTTTCTTCTTCCAGAAGATTTTTGGGAAGACCAGATTTACTACCAATTTACTGATTGATCTCTACTGAAAATCTTAAATGTCAAAGATGCTGACTTCTCTGTAGGTAGACAGGTTCAGTAAAATAGCTTAATGTAATAGCACTTACTTGTGGGTCAAGCTTATTTAGTTATTTTATTTTAGAGACAAGAGTCTCACCTTATTGCCCTCCATAGAGTGCCGAGGTGTCAGACAGTTCACAGCAACCTCCAATTCCTGGGCTTAGGTGATTATCTTGCCTCAGCGTACCAAGTAGCTGGGACTACAGGCACCTGCCACAATGCCCAGCTATTTTTTTGTTGCAGTTTGGCCGGAGCTGGGTTTGAACCCACCACCCTTGGCATATGGGGCCAGTGCCCTACTAGCTGAGCCACAGGTGCCGCCCCAGGGTCAAGCTTTTTAATTATTAGAGGAAATATCCCTTTAATGAGAGAGATGTGTTTTTTTATTTTTATTTTTTTTTGTAGAGACAGAGTCTCACTTTATCACCCTTGGTGGAGTGCTGTGGCTTCACAGCTCACAGCAACCTCCAACTCCTGGGCTTAGGCGATTCTCTTGCCTCAGCCTCCCGAGTAGCTGGGACTATAGGCGCCCACTACAATGCCTGGCTATTTTTTTGCTGCAGTTTGGCCGGGGCCGGGTTTGAACCCACCACCCTCAGTACGTGGGGCTGGTGCCCCACCCACTGAGCCACAGGCACCGCCTGAGAGAGATGTTTTCAATTAGCAAAATGTAAAAATGCTTACTGGAGATTTAGAAGTTAACCTTATACTCTAAAGTTCTTAGGAACATAAGTAGAATGAGCACGATTTTTACTGCGAACATAAATTTGCTTCCTGGATTTAAAGGTCAAGTATAATAAAATGTTCGGGGTGGGGGGGACTTTGTAGGTGTTTTCAGGACCAAGAAGGCATGCACCCCCATCAGCAACTCAGAGTGTGTCTGCATCACAGGGTTTCACTGCCTGGGGGAAGGGTGCACCATGTGTAGGAAAGACTGTACACAAGGTCAAGAATTAACAAAAGAGGGTAAGTCTGCTCTTCCTCCACCTAGTGGGAAGCTTGTTGTGTAGACACATGCCATTAACTTAGGTTTTGAGCCTTGGAATATAAAGCAGCAATAGATTTATAGAACTTTAAAGTAACAGGTGATGAAGCAATGAGTCACGTAAAAATTAATATCATATATTAATTACTATTTTTAAATTAATAAAGTAATTTTCCATTATTTTTGCGTAAATGGAAACTTTTGAAGTCAGAATGTTTATTTCCAGAGCCATGCCGTCTCCTACATTTTGTACTATATGTACCACTAGAATAAAAATAGCAATCTTAAGGTTTTGTTTCAAGACTTATTAAACAATTTGTGCAGGCTGTATTAAGTTAACAACTTTACCGTGATGTTCATCACGGGAAAAGTTATGAAATGATGCAGATGCCTCTTTTTTTATTATTGCTGTCCTTTTTACACAAGGTTGTAAAGACTGTTGTTTTGGGACATTTAACGATCAGAAAAATGGCACCTGTCGACCCTGGACAGAGTATGTATAATTTCCTTTTGCTAAAAAAGCATTCATTGCCTACAAAATAAGGAGTCGGGGTTAAACTTCCCTAAAGACAAGGAATGCTATCATTAAATATCTGTACACTTGTGAAATGTAGGCAGCATGTAAGAAACTACTATTGTGAGTTCCTGGTGATTCAATAGGCAAAGGGAGTGTTTTCTCCAGATCAGAATCAGAGAACCAAAGGAACTCTGCCACCCTCCACCCTCCTCTGTCCTGTTACCTTTTAATCTGCTTGCTGCCTCTTACCTTTCCTCACTGATCAGCCCAGCTCCCAGAGTTCAATGCCAGCCCTGACGACGATACAGAAGGCGGCTAAAGATTGCTGTTACTCACCCTCCAGAATGTAACATGTGCTTACACACACAAGGCCACACAAGTAGTAAAAAGCCTGTGGTGTCTGAGAGAACGTGACCGTTAACTTGTGAGACCAGCGCTTCTCAAACTGTGGTCAGGTGCTGGCCGGCTCGAGGTCTGTCCTACATTCCTGGGCACAGCAGTGCACAGGTAGAAACTTTTAAGGCAAAATGGCTCAATAATGTAGAATGTTGACTCTAAGAATAAACATTTGAGCTTTTTTTTTTTTTTTTGAGACAAGGTCTCATTCTGTCACCCCAGCTAGAGTGCTGTGCCATCATTCTCCTGAGTAGCCAGTATTATGGGTGTGCACCACTATGCCTGGCTAATTTTTTCTTTTTCTTTTTTTTGGTAGCGATGGGGTCTCACTCTTGGTCAGCCTGTTCTCAAACTCCTGACCTCGAGTGATTCTCCTTCATCAGCCTCCCAGACCCCTGCATGTTGTATATGCCTTTGTCTTTTTATTTTCACTTAATTTCTCTACTAGAAAACCATTTTTACTATATTTTGCAGGTGTTATTGGTTTGTGACAGATTGGAGTTGTTTTCTTTTTAAGGCCTTACGCACACTGCTCAGAGTAGTCGAGTGTCTGCATGGAAAAGTGGGAGTGGGTGTGAACTGGGCCTTGGAGGATGGGAAGGAGCAAGGGAAGGCACAGTGACGATGGTGGGGACAGTAATGGTGACAGCTGCCATTTATTGGGTGTGTCAGACATGCAAAAGTGACCTCCTTCATTAGCTCTTCTTCTGGGAAGTCCTTATTTTGCGGATGAGAAAATTGAGGCTTAGAGAGATTTCTCAACTTGCTCAAGGCCATCAAGCAGCAGACCCAGGCCTCAAACCCTGGCTTGTCTGATGCCGAAGCCAGAAGTCCTAGGCTTCTCCCATCTTTCAGATGTGCCAGCGATGGTCAAATGTAGCCAAGAGACTCGGGAGTGAGAGACTATTCTGGTAAAGTGGCCTGAACTCAGGTGCTGCAGGAAGCTGAGGGCAGCCAGGTGGACAGCTGAGAGGAAGGTCACATCATCTTGGCATTGGCTCTGCACACGGAGTCCTATCTCTGTCACCAGGCTAAACAGTCGAAGTTTTAACCTGGAGTCCTCTGTACCTATATTAATTATTTGAACTCTTTTCCTTGAACTGTCTAAGCTGTTCTTCGAATGGAAAGTCTGTGCTTGTGAATGGGACGAAGGAGAGGGACGTGGTCTGTGGACCGCCTTTGGCCGACTTCTCCCCAGGAACCTCCTCCACGACCACACCTGCCCCCACCAGAGAGCCAGGTAGCTGGTTTGATGCTGTTAAATCTAACTGAATATATTACAGTTGTTCCCAGTTGTTATCTAAATTGCACCAAGACTCCGGTCTCCACCTGCAATGGGCCCCTCCAGTGTGCCTCCCTGCTTGTTCCCTACCGTCCAAGACTGGTCTGTTTTGTCTCAGGCAGTTGTCGTTTGATCTGAGATACAGATTAGTGAGTAGGGCAAGGTGGGACTTCACCCAGACAGACAAATCTTTATCAATGGCAAGTAAAGGGGATTAGAGCCTCCCATAATTTTTATATGCTGAAAAGAGTAAAACACTCACTTTAGGGCCTGCTAAGAAAATTAAGTTTTGAGTTTTGGGTTTCTTTTTAAAGTTTTCTAAGTTTACTAAGTTAGCAGGTTGGAAATGGCCAAGGCTCTGACCCTTTCCTGCTTACGAGTTGGTCCATGGAAATATAGACAGGAGAGTGTTGCAGAGACCCATTCCCATGCGCCCGTCTCCTTTTGCTCTTTTTTGAAGGACATGCTCCACAGGTCATCACCAGCTTCCTCGCGCTGATGTCGGTGGTCCTGCTGCTCCTGGTCTTGGTCCTTGTGCTCCGCATCTCTGTTGTCAAACGAGGCAGAAAGAAACTCCTGTATATAGTCAAACAACGTAAGCCCCCTGCTAACTGTTAGATGTGAGCTCTCTCAAGGCAAAACTCTTTACAGTAGAAAGGAAGTGAGGTTCAAGTTGCAGAAACGAGGTCTGACACTGTGCCTATCAAGCAGAGACAATTTTGTCCCCGAGGGGACATTTGGCAATGTCTGAAGACACTTGTGGTGGGTCACACTTTGTGGTGAGGGCTGGGGGGCATTACTGGCATCTAGACAACACCGCTCACCCGCTAGGATGCACAGGACAGCCCTCAGCAAAGGATGATCCAGCCCCACAAGTTAACAGTGCTGAGGGGGAGAGAGGCTGGGGTACAGCAGACCACATCCCAGGGTGCTAGAAAAACAAGAGTTTAAGGAGGCTGCCATCTCAGATGTGTGTGTGTGTGTGTGTGTGTGTGTGCGTGCGCGCACCGCCCAAAGGACACCAGCAAGGAAGAATCAGAAAAAACGTTCCCTGCACACTCTTCTGCGTGGTAAGTGACCTTAACTCGAGTTTAGAGCCACACTTGGGGGAGGGAGAGTAAGCTAAGAGGAGGTTTGAAGTGAGTTTATGAGATCGATTATTATAATACCAATCAGGATTAAACAAAAAATTTCAACAGTCAATTTCATTTATGAAGCCCTTCAACAAGACAGAATTTCTGTAAGGTACCCAGGCAGTTCCTGGCAGCACCAACAAAAGCCATTGGCGTGTGGATCGTCATGGGCAGCCTGGTTTTGTCTCTGTGGGGGGCAGGATGAGATGGAACAGGTTCACCATGACTCCACAGGAGGAATTCACACGTAGGAGAAAACTTCTGAAGGCAAAAGCTTAACCCAAAACACTCCAGTAAGACCAAAGTGTGTCAGTTTGAAGGTTGTTGAGACATACAGGATGACCCAGAGTTCAGATGTGAAGAAACATGAAAATGGGACATGGTAGTTAAATGCACCTTTATTTACAAAATATTTGTGACAAAATTTTACAAAGTGTGCTCGACGTGTTGGTCACCTCTTTGTAAAATTTTGTAAATAAAGGTACCTTTAGCTACAATGTCCCATTTCCCCTGCTGTGTACATGTGTTTGGTGGCTTTGCTCACAACCCTTGGTACACCCATGTATGGGTGGAAAGCATTCGTGAAGTCTTATCCAAAAATATGCTGCGCTAATTTAAAGATTCTTTCTAAGACAGCACAAAACTCTTTTACCTTGTGAAATGTACAGAAAAAGGTATCACTGTCAAGTTTAACAAATTGTAAATGAACACCCCCAAACCTTCCCTGGGCCAACTGTAGCCCGGAGTTGGCCCCCGGCCAGCCCTGCACACACCTTTGTAGATCCCAGCTCCCCGCCCCGCTGCTGCCAACCTCAGCTAGATTTGCACAGGACTTACTTCCTTACTCTTTGTGGTTTAACTACCTGACCACCCAGTCTTATCTGGCCGTGTGTGATCGTCATACACGTGGAGCCCCAGGCGGTGTGTGCGGCACCTTCTCTCTCTCCACACTGTATCTTTGAGATTCATCCCTGGGTTGAGTCCCCCTGTGCTGATGTCCGCTGCTGTAGACTCTCCGAGGAACGTGTATCTTAGTGGGTATAGCAGACTGTTTTCCAACACGGGTGGACCCCGTGTACACTCCCCTGCGGTATGTAACAGCTGGCTCAGTGTCCCTTCTATCTCTTGGTACCATCGGTCTATTTTGACCTATCTGATGGGTGGAGAGGAGGATCTCACTGTGGTTTGATTTGTGTTTCCCTGATTACTGGTGAGGCCAGACGCCTTCTCATGTTATATCAGCCATTCGAATTTCCTCTCTTGCGAGCGCCTGAGCAAGTCTTTTCAGCATTTCCTCATAGGGCTGTCTGCTGGTTTCTTACTAATTTATAGGAACTTTTTAGCCTGTTGCTCATGTGCTGCAAATATCTTTTCCTACTTTGTGGTTCGCCCTTTCATTCTCTTTCTGAGGTCTACACCTCCCTGGGGTGGGGAAACTAGGGCCTTCTGATTTTAAGATTTTTTTTCTTTTAAGCACCAAAGGAGGCAAGAAAAGCCTTATCTTTCTCTGCTGCAACCCCACCCTTTTTTTTTTAATTGAGACAGAGTCTCACTTTGTTGCCCTCTGTTGAGTGCTATGAGGTCACAGCTCACAGCATCCTCCAACTCTAGGACTCAAACAATTCTCTTGCCTCAGCCTCTGGAGGAGGGACTACAGGCGCCTGCCACAATGCCCAGCTATTTTTTTGCCCGGCTATTTTGTTGTTGTTGTTGTTTTAGCAGGCCTGTGCTGGGTTCAAACCCACCAGCCCTGGTGCGTGTGGCCAGGTGTGTAGCCCCACTGAGCTACGGGCGCCACCTGCTGCACCCCTTCTAATAAAAGGATTTGTTCTGTAAAATTTGGATTCAGTCAAAAGGCACCACTTAAAGACCTAGAAGGCCACAGGTGCCTAAGGCTGCAGATTCCCCTCCTGTGCTCCTGATTTTAAAGAACTCTCTCTCCCATCCTACCCCAGATGACAACAAAGTTCTTTATAAAATGCTTTCCAGAAGTATTTATGAGTAATGAGTGAATTTCCATGGAACTATAATCAGTTTTTAAAAAAATTTTCAGATCATTCAAAAGATGTTAGATTCACAGGAAGTTACAAAGAAGAGCACAGAAAAGGCTCCCGTGCCGTTCACGGGGTCGCGTCTTGTAGGACAGGATCAGAACCAGGACACTCACAGTGGCGCATTGTGCAGGCACCTGCAGTGAGTCATTTTGGCAAATGAGTAGAATCGTGTAACCGCCGGCACACTTGGAACCCAGAGCTCCCCATCCCCACAAGCTCTGCCCACGTGCCCTTTCTAGACACGTCCCCTCCCCACCCCCGCGGGCCCCAGCTCCTGGCAGCCACTCAGCTGTTTTCCATCTCTGCACTTCTGTCATTTCAGGAGTGTTGGATACATCAATATATAGAATCACACAGTACGCATCAAGCCTAAATACTAGACAGAGAGACTCTCTAAAAATCCCTGATGTTTACCCCGGAGCACACTGCAGGGTCTATGTGGTGGGAGCATCGGGGAAGTAAAGGAAGATAGGGGTTTTTGTTTTTTTGGAGGGGTTTTGTTTTTTTTCTACTCTGTCTCACCATCAGTAGGGTGCTGTGGCATCACAGCTCACAGCAACCTCAAACCCTTTGGCTTAAGTGATTCTCCTGCCTCAGCCTCCCAAGTAGCTGGGACTATAGGTGTCCACCACAAGGCCTGGCTATTTTTTGTTGCAGTTGTCATTGTTGTTTAGCTGGCCCAGGCTGGGTTCGAACTCAGTGTATGTGGCTGGCACCCTACCCACTGAGCTATGGGTGTTGAGCCAGGAACACAGGGTTTTTAAGGGGAAAATGAGGAGGGTTGTATATGATATATACATATATATATATATATAGAGAGAGAGAGAGAGAGAGAGAGAGAGAATGAATCTCACTTTGCTGCCCTGGACAGCCATGGCATCACAGCTCACAGTAACCTCAAACTCTTGGGCTAAAGTGATCCTCTTGCCTCAGCCTCCTGAGTAGCTGGGATACAAGGGCCTACCACAAGGCCCATCTATCGTTTTTTTAAGAGACGAGGTCTCACTCTTGCTCGAGCTGGTCTCGACTTGGGAGCTCAGGCAATCCACCTGCCTCAGCCTCCTAGAGTGCTGGGATTACAGGTGTGAACCCCTGTGCCTGGCCTTGCATATGATATTTTGAAACCATTATCCATGGCTACAAAGATTAATAACAAGGATGGCTTCAATCCAAGGTTGGACCAGCAGTCACTGGGCAGAGGGCCTTGCATCCTTGCAGAGACAGTTTTTCTGGAAGGGTGAAGCTTTTGTAGAGTTGTGATAATGCTCATTGTCAGGCATCCATGACAGGGTTTTGACACAAGCGACTCTGTTGTGGTTCTGACAACTTTCCCATGTGCAGCCTTTTGAGATTAGCATTTATCAGGCATAATGCCCCGGACGCCACGCTAGGTTGTGTGTTTTCAATAGTTCATCCTTTTTTCTTGTTGAGTAGTATTCCGCAGCAGGGCAGTGTGACAGTTTGCTTCACCAGGCACCTATTGCCAGATACTTTGCTTCCAGTTTCGACTATTGCACACAGAACAATAGGGATAATCACACAGAGGTTTATGTGAAGATAATTTTGTGTGTGTGTGTGAGAGACAGAGTCGCAAGCTGTGGCCCTGGGTAGAGTGTCGTGGCGTCACAGCTCACAGCAACCTCCAGCTCCTGGGCTTAGGCGATTCTCTTGCTTCAGCCTCCCAAGTAGCTGGGACTACAGGCACCTGCCACAACGCCCAGCTATTTTTTGGTTGCAGTTTGGCCAGGGCTGGGTTTGAACACACCACCCGCGGTATATGGGGCCAGCGCCCTACCAGCTGAGCCACAGGTGCCACCCCAAACTAATATACTTATTTAATTTATATTAGCTGAGTTGTGGTAGTTTGTGAGAAATTGTCCTATTTCACCTAGGTTGTGAAGTTTGTGTGTTTACAGTTATTCATGGGATTCCCATACTATCCTTTTGGTGTCTTTGCGGTCTGTAGTGGTACCACTGGGATGACAAGCAGAGTCACCATGCCTGGCTAAGTCTTCTATTTTTTAGTACAGACAGGGTCTCGCTGTTTCTCAGGCTGGTCTTGAACTCCTGGGTTCAAGTGATCCTCCCGCCTGAGCCTCCCAAAGTGCTAGGATTACAGAGGTGTGAACCACCTTGCCCAGCCTCAATACTTGATTATAAAATAGGTTTTGTGTTAGGTGGTTTTGCCCAACTATAGATTAATGTAAGTGCTCTGAGCGTGTCTAAGGTAGGCAAGGCCAAGTTCTCACGCTGGGTAGGGTAGGTGTATTAAAGGCATTTTTGACTTGTGATATTTGTAGCTTACAATGGGTTTATCAAGATGTGACCCCCGTCACAAGCTGAGGAGCCTCTATACTTTTTGTCAGCCTTTTTCTTCTCCTGTCCTTCTAGGATAAGGTGACCAGACATCCCACTTTTGGCGGGACAGTCCTGATTTTTAACAATTTGTCCCGCATCCCGCTGCATTTTTAAAAAGTCCCAATTTTTGGAAAAAATGCACCACAAGCTAGGGAATAGCGGGACAACGGGAAGGGAATATGTGGTTTTCAGCTGCTGACAAGGTTAATGTAACTCCATTTGGGAATGAAGAGGTTAGTGTAACTTCATTTGGAAATGAAAAGGCTAATGTAAACTCCCTACTCCCCTCCTGGGCAAGGTCACCCAGGTGGACCTGAGCCCTACTCCTTTGAGCCACGGGCTCCTCCCTATACATAATTTTTTTTAATGCATTATATTTATAAATTGTACTTACGTTGAAATTTAAAAAATATATATTACAATACTATTTTTGCATTCTATGAAAATTTTTGTTGCTCCATATAGACTAATTTTTTTTTTTTTTTTTTTGAGACGGAGCCTCAAGCTACCCCCCTGGGTAGAGTGCCATGGCATCACGCTCACAGCAACTTCCAACTCCTGGGCTCAAGCGAGTCTCCTGCCTCAGCCTCCCAAGTAGCTGGGACTACAGGCGCCCACCACAGCACCTGGCCATTTTTTGGTTGCAGCCATCATTGTTGTTTGGCGGGCCCGGGCTGGAGATTCGAACCTGCCACCTTAGGTGTATGTGGCTGGCTGGCGCCTTAGCCACTTGAGCCACAGGCGCCGAGCCTAGACCAAATTTTTAAATTTTTAATTAAGAACCCTGCCCCACCTCTCCCATCAATGGTATCCTGCTTTACCAATGTTAAAATCTGGTCACCTTATTCTAGGACTCCAGATAACACAAACTTGAGATCTTCTGTTACAGCCCCGTGTGTTCCCAAGTCTCCCTCTGCACTCTTCCCCCTGCTGGCTAAGCCCATTCATTGATTTTAAAAATCACAGTTATAATTTTTCAGTTTAAAAATTGCCACTTGGTTCTTTTCTATTTCTTTTTCATTTGTTTCAAATGCGTCCCTGATTGCCTGACGAAGCATTTTGACGCTGGCTGCGTTAAAATCCTCCCCGGATAATTCTAACATCCGAGTCATCTCGGTGCCGGCACCGTCTTTTCTCATTCCAAGTGCGATCTGCCAGTGTTAGTATAATAAGCGGCCTTTTTATTACAATTCAGACATTGGGGTGTTGTGTTACAGATGTAATTTAAGTCTTGTATTTTCCCGGGCATCCTCTGGTGCAGCGGGATGGCACCCACTCCCAGCAGGCAGAGGTGGATGCGTAGGTCCCTCTGTGGGGCTTAAGGGTGGGGCCGCTTTTTTTTTTTCTATGCTGTTTTGTTAGAGTTGAGTGATTATTGGCTAAAAGTTTTCAGTCTTGCTATGCTGTCCCGCTCCTGGTCTTGCAGCTAGAGGGAACAGGGTTTTCCTGGACCTTTTTTTTTGGTCTATAGACATCAGCACTACTAGGCTGCTGGCTTCTCGATTTCCCAGTCTGGGGTGAGTAGATGAGGCAGGAAGATAGCCCACATTGCTCCGTGGGTCCTGAGACCCTCAGCCAATCTGCCTTCCTCTCTCTACCTTTCAGAGCCTTCTTAAGTGTGTTGATGGATGATGTCCATAGTTTTCAGCGGTATTCAGTGGGAAAAATGTGGGAAGGTATGACATCTCCATCTTTCCAAAAGGAGAGCACCATTTTTTTGTCGTTGTTGTTGTTAGAAAAAAAGGGCTTTATTTTTTATACAGGGTCACACCTACAGGTTGGCCAACCTGATGGGGAGGAAACAGTAGACTCCAGCAGAGACCAAAAGGCAGGAATTTATGTTGAGCGGGTGGGTCAAGTACACATATTCAACAGATTACAGGGGAGCTATAGATATTTATGGAAGGGATCCTCATGTGTGGCTACTGAATATGTCACACCCAGATTCACTGCAGAGTGGATACTTAGAGTTTAAATGTCTCACAACTCAGCCACATACTTCAGCAGGTGGCACAGGGACACCAAGGCCCTCAAGTGCACAGCCACCCGTGGCCAGGGGTGAAAGTTACTGCAGTCAGCCTCTTGTCCCGAGTCATAGCTTGTGGATCAGGGAGGTGGCTTTGGTGACCTGCAGCTGTTTCCAGATTGCTTATCTCAGGCCAGTGCTGGTTTAGCCTCATTTGTATACACCTTGTTCATTCCTCAGACCTGGGAAAAGTGAACAACCAATGTTTCAACAAGTGTTGAGTCTTCCCTGTCCTTGCACAGAAATCCTTATGTTTCTTCGGAGTGTTCCTTCTGGAATAACGTTTCCTCTTCCCCCGTGTTCATTTTTTTTTTGGTAGAGATAGAGTCTCACTTTGTTGCCCTCGGTAGAGAGCTATGGCATCACCTAACTCACAGCAACCTCCAACTCCTGGGCTTAGGAGATTCTCTTGCTTCAGCCTCCTTAGTAGCTGGGACTGCAGGCGCCTGCCACAACGCCTGGCTATTTTGTTGTTGTTGTTGTTGTTGTTGCAGTTTGGCCGGGACTGGGTTTGAACCTCGGTATATGGGGCCAGCACCCTACCCACTGAACTACAGGTGGCCACCCAACCCATGTTCATTTTAAAATTAATCTTTGACACAATTTCAAAAGACATTCCCATTGTTATTTCTGAAATTTTGCCAGTTTTTTGTAAGTTCTGGCAGGTAGTGCGGTTGTTTGGTTATGGCTGATTTTTTACAGTAGCAAACACATGAATTTAAGGTGAGACTTCTGGCTTTGTCAGACTATAAAGAAATATATACTGAGAATTGAAAAATCGCTCAGCAGCAATAGAATAAACACCTTAGTACCTTACACCCAACCTATCAGAGACAGCCTGGACAGAAAGCAGCCCTTGGCTTACTAATAGATGGAAGCCGTGGGCATATCTTTGAAATCTTGGCGCATTTCATTCACAAGAAACTGTCTAGTCTCTAATCTGAGTAACCTTCGAGACCATCACGCATACGTGCTGTAGAACTGAAACTACAGTTAGGTTTGGGAAATGGCTAATATTTCAGGTGATGGTGATTCATGTTCAAGACTTGCTGTAGCCAAAGTAGAACATAAATAAACTCATTGTTAAAGATAAATACAGATATTTGATAGGAGGGAAAATAATACTCAAATAATTTATAATCACAAATAATCTCTAGAAAAACTCATGCTTGCTAGTACCTCTCTCGTAGATGCGTTTGTTAACATTAAACTTGAGACCGTTTGCTGCTTCCAGATGTTCTACAGCTGCAGTTCTTGGAAAATGAATGTTTTTTGTTTTTGGGGGGTTTTTTTTTTGCAGTTTTTGGCCAGGGCTAGGTTTGAACCTGCCACCTCCGGCATGTGGGGCCAGCACCCTCCCCCTTTGAGCCATAGGGGCTGCCCGAAAGTACATGTTAAACGATTAAAACAGACAACAAAACCTAAGAATCTTTTAAATTGCTTTTCAGCATTTATGAAACCAGTTCAAACGGCACAAGAAGAAGATGGCTGTAGCTGCCGGTTTCCGGAAGAAGAAGAAGGAGGGTGTGACCCGTGAGATGGAAACACCAAGGGCTGCCGGACTCTTGGAAAGAAGAGAAGGAGAAATAGGAGCAATTCCCCATCACGTTTTCCAAAACCCAAAGCACCAGCCTCAATAATACCCAGCATTCCCCCCGACAAGTGTTTTTTTCTAAGTGCTAGCAAACTGTCCTTTAAAAATACACCACTATTTTAACAGAGCAGACACGTAGGGACAGAGCGGTGGTAAAGGGTATTTCCTAGATACCATGTCACAGGCCCCAGGCCTGGGCTAGTCTTTTGAAATCCGAAGAAAGATATAGTTTATATTTAATCACGTAGGCCAACAGCCCAGCCACAATCATAATCAAAATCAATGCAGGTTTGTGTGCAAATACGACATGTGGCAATTAGCCATGAGATGCAGTAAGGAGCACCAACCAAACCTTCCATCAGGTCTATGATTGAACATGATGGCGGCATCCTCTGTGGTTGGGGGAGGGGGTCAGAGGCCTGAGTTTGGGGTCAGACCTTGTTGAAGAGTTTCAGAAAGAGTTCAAGTCCCTTATCTGTTCTGTGACCCTTCCAGCCTCACACCGCCTGCTTTGTCTTGCTCCGCTCTCTGTTTTATTCTTAACTTTTTACATAATATTTGACACACAAACTAATAAACGAATAGTATGAAGGACAATGAGAAAATGGACACCCATGTACTCATAGCCCAGCTGGAGTGCTGGGACAGGGCCCACCGAACTCCCATGGCCAAATCTGGAACCATTTGCCTGTTTTTTTTGGTTTTTAAGAGATGGGTCTTGCTCTGTCACATGGGCTGGGGCACACTGGCTATTCATAGGTATGATCATAGTGCACTACAGCCCGGAACTCCCTGCCTTCACCTCCTGCGTAGCTGGGACTACAGGTGCGAGTCTTTGGGCACAGCTGTCCTTATGGCTTATAATTAAAAAAATAATTTATCATACAGTTATGTACCTTTAAATGATGTGATTTAGTTTTGTTTCTTTCTGAGATTTATGAAAATGGTCTTGTGCTATATGTGAAACTTCTGTGACTTGCTTAAATTGGTCAAAATTATATAATTTTATGAGACTCATTTATGTCGTGCGTAGCTTGCGTGTATTTATTTTTACTAATTTTGCAAATATGCCATTATTTACCAATTCATTCTCTAGCAAGGGACATTGGGTTGTTTTTAGGTGTTTTACCATCATGAACAATGATGCTATGATTTTTTAAAAATATATTTCTCATGCAAGAGTGATGCCGGGGCAAGTTTCTGAAAGCAATAATTGCTGGATCTTTTTTTTTTTTTTTGAGACAGAGCCTCAAGCTGTCCCCCTGGGTAGAGTGCTGTGGCATAACAGCTCACAGCAACCTCCAACTCCTAGGCTCAAGCAAGAGTCCTGTTTCAGCCTCTCAAGTAGCTGGGACTACAGGCGCCCACTACAACACCCGGCTATTTTTTCGTTGCAGCTGTCATTGTTTGGCGGGCCCGGGCTGGATTCGAACCTACCACCTTAGGTGTATGTGGCTGGCGCCTTAACCACTTGAGCCACAGGCGCCAAGCCTAATTGCTGGATCTTAAGGCACAGGAATGCTCGGCTTTATAAGCTGGTGCCCTAAGTTAGCATATGCTAAGTTATGCAGAAATGGCAAATGACTCCCCAACTTTTAATAGATTATAACAAAACAACAGAGGTGCATTTATTACTATCGTGACAGGCCAGTTGCAGGCTACAAGCGCCACCCTATGGAGGATTTTTTTTTAACTTTCAAAAAAACAGCAAACATATTAAAACACTCCTCTTGAGAGTAAGACAGGCAAAATAACTCTTACAGAACAAGATCGATTGGAATTTGATTTCAGCACATGACCTACTGTGAATGTCTCATATGAGGTCTCTGGGTGGAATTATCTGAAAATCTGAGAGCCTGAGCAGGAGGCTGTAGGCAGGAGTCCTTTGAACTTGGTGTTCTGGCAAGAATAAGAGAATAATCATTGGTGGTAAAATTCTGCTAAGAGGCAAAGCGAAGCTTAGGGAGTTTACCTGTGCTGTTTCAGCAACAAGGCTAGGTATAAATTTTTTGTTCTTTCCAGATCATGAAGCCAAAAATTCTAAAGTGACTTCTCTTTTGGCTTTAGGCTCATGGCATCTAATTATCAGTCCCACATACAGAAAGGGACTGGTCATGCCCCACAGGCTTAGGGCATCCAGGGCAACTGGCCTCTCCTGTGTCCCAGACTATAAACACAAATCACAGTTTATTCTGCTTATCTGATGGAGGCTGTGTTTATTGCACAGACTACGACATCCTTATTGTAGTAAATTTGGGGATAATATACGAAAGTTATAATTGAAAAACACAGAACTTAGAGTCATCTTTCTCCCTAAATGATGACTAACAGGGACAGAAAATTAAGAGGAATACAACGATCCCCTTCTAAATTTAATTTAGGAAGTCCAACTATTAGGTTTGATAGAAATAAATATAAGTTGGGTTTTTTTTTTTTTTTTGGCCGGGGCTTGGCTTAAACCCGCCACTCCCGGTATATGGGGCCAGTGCCCTACTCCTTGAGCCACAGTTGCAGCCCAAATGTAAGTTTTTATGATCAAAAATTAAAATATGGCTCAGCGCCTGTGGCTCAAGCAGCTAAGGCGCCAGCCATATACACCTGAGCTGGCAGGTTTGAACCCAGTCCAGGCCCACCAAACAACAATGACGGCTGCAACCAAGAAATAGCTAGGCATTGGGGTGGGTGCCTGTAATCCCAGCTACTTGGGAAGTGGAGGCAGGAGACTTGCTTGAGCCCAGGAGTTGGAGGTTACTGTGAGCTGTGATGCCACGGCACTCTACCCAGGGCGACAGCTTGAGGCTCTCTCAAAAAAAAAAAGAAAGTTAAAATATGTAATTGAAAATGGATGTTTGTTTTCCTTTTTGAGACAGGGTCAGGGTCTTGCTGTGTCTCAGACTAGAGTGCTCTGGTGTCAGGCTGCAACAGCAATCTCGAAATCCTCAAGTGAACCTCCTGTCTCAACCTCCCAAGTAGGTGCCTGCCACTGTGACTGGCTATTTTTTCTATCTTTTCTTTTTTTTTTGCAATTTTTGGCTGGGGCCATGTTTGAACCCACCACCTCCGGTATATGGGGTGGGCACCCTACTCCTCTGAGCCACAGGCACCGCCCCTAATTTTTCTATTTTTGCAGAGACAGGGTCTTACTCTTGCTCAGGCTAATCTCAAACTCCTGGTCTCAAGCAATCCTCCTGCCTTGGGCCTCCCAAAGTGTTAGGCTTTACAAGTGTGAACTATTGCACCTGGCCTGGAAATAGTTTTTTAAATGTTTAAAAACAAGCTTAGGTTATTTCTGAACCAGATTTTGATTTTGTTCTTAGTGGAAGATTTCACTCTGATGGAAACTTATGATATGAGGGGCGTATGACTGTTATGGTGGGTGTCTGTCTCTGCAGGACAGAAGTTTCCATTTGTGGGTGGAAGGTGCCCGTGAACCACAGCTGGGGCAGTTTAAGTGTGGTCTAGTGGGTGCTGAGGGTGCTACAAGAGTGATAATGATCACTGTGTTTTGAAAAGGAGTCTAATAAAACACAAATCTATCACATTCATAGGAAAAATAGTTTTTAAGAAAAACTGTATTACTATTACAATATCAAATCATAAAGTCTAATTATAAAATAAGGTGGCAAATTTTTGTAAACAATGGGACCTTAGACTTTAATGCCAAGGGATGTTAATGATTTAAGAGTTCAGAATTTCTTTTTGCTTCCCCAAATTGACTTATTAGTCACAGAAACCTGAATGCTATTTTTATATCCATACTGATCCAGATAGCTGTATTTCAAATTAAATAAACCGTTGAAGCCTTTCAAACAATACGTGTTTTCCAAATTCATCAATAAAGCAGATTCTGACAAATTCGCTGAAGCAGCTGACTATGAGACTGTGAATAAATGACCCCGTCATTGAATTACTATGTGTTGAAGTGTCTGCTCCACACCAGGGACCTCGTAAGGACGCAAAGGCACAAAGATAAAAACCCAGCTCTTACCAGAGGACTTTCAGCTGAGGAGACTGTCAGGTCTGACTTGGAAAGAGCTGCATCAGGGTCCCAACAGACCTCTACGAGGATTCTGCCTTCACCACGGTGACGCCACCAGGGATCTGTTGTGCACTGGGACCAGGACTGCCCTCCTGGCTCTCAGAATGGGAAAAGGCAGCTGGGCCTTGGGTAGTACATGTACATGGCTGGGAAACTGAGGCTACAAGGGGTGGTGATGGGACAGAGGAGACCCCAACCCAGGCAGGAACAGCCGGGCACCAGCAGAGACCCCAGAAGGAGCCCAGGGCCCAGGCTTCACAAAACCACAGGGTAGCAGGCGGGTACCAGCAGAGACACTCCCAGCAGCCAGGGAGAAAGAGCAATTGCTAGTTGCAGACATCAGGAGGGGCACAAGGTTCAGCTGAAACATGCTTCCTTTCTGCCTGGCCCCTCCCTCCTCACTCTCTCCTCTCCTTCCCCTGTCTCTACAGAAGAGCCACTGACAGCCAGCTTTTGATCCCAGAAGACGACCAGGTTATACAGACTGTCACAGACACGATATCCTGGGGAGAATTCACCCATGGAGATGCCCTCATCTCAACAGACATGACTGCTGTGTGTCAGTGCCTTGTCTCTCTCCCAGGCTGGAATGGTGGCTTCTGGGCAGGAGTTTCCTCAGATCCTCTGCTGCAATCCCAATCCCTGGAAAATGCCAGTCACTGTGGATTGAATGAATGCACAAATGGGATCTAACAGGTTCACTGGTTGCCATCCAGTCCTTACAGTGTATGTGGCGAGAAGCAATTTTTGCAACGTGAACTCTATTCACTTGTAAGATTTACCAAGTTCTCTTCTATTACCCAGTGAGGGAAGACAAAGGTTGGATGAGCTGTCCATAGTCATAGTTTTAGGGTTTATGGGGGTTTATTTTCTTCCAGCTTTGGTAATGACTGCTGATCACACCAGAGAGGGACTGTGGGAAGGTTGAACATACTGTGTTATTTTCCACTTTAGGGTTACGAGGGGGCTTAGGAAAAGATTTTATCTGCCATCTGGGAAGCACATTATTACTTTTGTGGTCCTACTTTGCTTCTGTT